CATATGAAAACCCTCATAACCGTCATTTGAGAGGCTGTAATCACATTTTTACTTAAATAAATGGTCATTTATCACGATTGTCCTCTAGTTTTCTGTCTATGTACTAATCATTCCACCATCCCAGCAACATACTGGGATGGTGGAATGCTAAAATATATGGAGACAGTGTTATTATACACTCAGTTAACAATTATTAAGAGGTATACCTAGCTAAAAGTAACACAGGGTAGAAAAACATCCCTGCAATAAATCCTGCCTACCTGAATGTTACAGTGTTGTGGTGTGGGTTTAAATCAATCATTTTGGACACTGCAGTTTGTGTTGTTGATTTGTGCTGTGGTATACTGAAAGGTGTTTCTAAAACGTTGTCTGATCTCATTGATATAAATGGCATGCTCTGGAAAAGTCTAGTAAGTGGAACCTGAATTAATAATATTTTGTCAAACTGGATTAGTTTAGGTAACTTATAAACTGGCAACAGTGGGTTCAGAAAATATCCCTTAGGTGAATGTTTTGCAGACAAACAGACAAAGATATAACTCACCCCCTTCTGGAGGCGTTTGCGAAGCAGATCAGAGCCCCCAGGTTTGTTTCCTAAATTTGGGTATCTGGCCTTAAGTTTAGCCTCCTCTGACTTCTCAGGACTGATCACCTTGTCCTGAATCTCCTAAAAACAAGCGGAGGCGTGAGACATCCAGATGAGGAAGGAAACCACTTAATTAACAAAATAAACAAGAGTACATTCACCAGGTGCCGAGGCCCCCTCCAAAACATGCGTTGATGGCGGCACTGCGGTATAGATGTAATCTGACCTTCTACATCAGATACTAAAACCTTTACTAAAACCATACATGTCTGAATAACAATTATGCAACAGTAAAGAGACGGTGTAACGTTACATTTACAACATTAATGTTAGCAAACCACAGGGGTATGTACATGTAACGTAAATAACGTCTTTTAAATACTGCTTCGTATTGGTATACGTTCTCCATATCAACATTAAAATATATATTGGCTGGTGTTTGCTCGACAGCCCCTCGCAGACACTGTGGAGTTAAACGGGTTGGACCACCAGGTGGAATTAACCGCTCCTGTAAATGTGCTGAAAAATAACGTTAACCATCGGTTTGTTTGATACTAGGGCGGTTAGCTAGCTAGCAATGTAACCGCAAGCCAAACTGCGGTAGCTAAAGTGGAATTATGGATTATGGCTAACGCTACTGGGCTTCAAGACCGACTACAGCAATCTGTTGGTTTGAGCTATGCTAACGTTAGCAGCTAAGCTAACTGCTACAGATTTGCCACTATGTGAATGTCATGACAGTTAGCTATTAGCTGCTAATATCGGACATTCACACCAAACATCCGGCACGGCAGGCCAGCTAACCGGTAAGGCAATGTTGTTACAAACTTTAAGAAATAACATGAATTATTCTAACCAGGGCTTAGTAGTCGGCTTTGGTTGATATGTCAACAATAAGGAGCGCGGGGTGAGTAAGCTAAGCTGTATAACGTTCACGTAGCGGCCGCTATAACAAAGTCACTGCTGCTTCACTGCTAACGTTAAATCCTCTGCACGGTTACCTTCACGTCCATCAATGTCTCCTCCGCCGTCGGCGTTTCTTCGTTATCCCCCGACATGTCTATATTACCGTGATCTCAGACAACAGGTTGCTCAGCAGTTGGGCAAATGATCCGCAAATCCCCTTACCGTACCCATACGAGCCGAGCGCGTACTCCCGCACAAGAAATACTACGTCACATGCGGAGACACCATGCGCGCTCACCCTGTGGCGCTCCTGCCGCGCGCCCGCAAGGTCTACTTAGTGCTGGGATCGGATTTACATTGCGTAACAGACCGATCAGCTGTTAGGCCCATGTGCTGAAACACAAATCCAGATTTCATTCGAATAATCCTCAGATCTGGAGGATGGTGAACGCTGCGCTGATTAACACAGTTCATTTGATATGTTTCCCCGTAGAGTTTCTTCCTGTGGTGTGTTTTGTGGCTGAAATAGGCCCTGTACTGAAATAAGCGATTGCTCTGCACATAAAGAAACACAGCATAAATAATTGGGAAACGCACTTTAAGGTCAACAGCAGACCCAGATCCTGACTTTGTCACCTTGCGAAAAAATAGAAGAATCTGTAAAAACTGAACTGGTAGTAGACCAGACACTGACAAACAACAGTGGTTATAATTAGTTGTTTTGATTAAAATAATTAATAGGGACAATTAGGCCTACTGGATATTTAGATTGAAACACTGTAGAGTAGCCTAAAAGGAGCAAATTTTGAAGTTTTTTTTTTCTGGCAGCAAGTAGTAATGGGTGTCTTAAGACGACTTAAAACAGCCTATTAACAAAGCAACATTGAACGTCTTCAGACGACAGAAAATAGCATGTTAACGTGTCCATTTTAGGTGTTAACCACTTCATTAGAAACCCATACAATAATTGCCAGAAAGAAAATAGCCTAATCTCCGCTCAATTTACCGCTTATGAAATGAGGACAAGAAGTAATAGTTATTGAATTGGGCTTAAGAAATAATATTGATTAATTAAGAAATATTGATATGAGAAAAAAATGTAGGCTTATACACTGTCACACTTCACATATTCATTTAATAAATCTAATTTAACGTGTGTCCTTTCTGTCGTGGAAATTATATTCCTGGTGAGGGGTTGAGCAAATAATTGAGTTACAACCAACCGTTGTCTTTGAAGAATTTATTTAACAAAAGAGAATAAACAGAGAAGTACTAAAACACATATAGGCCTACAGCTGGTCCAGAGACCTGCTGCCTAGGGCGGCTTCGGGCGTCTGGACCCGAGCAAAGGGATGCATCATCATTTACACAGTCTAGGTTTCTATGTTTTGGAGAACAGAGATCCTCTCTCGGCCTTGAATGAATATTCCAGGAGAGGAGAGGAACAACAAGAGAGGAAAACACCAAAACAATCTCACAGTTCTGGCCTAAATGTGGACGGAATAACATAAGGTGAATAGGAGGAAAGGTTAAGGATAAAAAAACACAGTTGAATACATATAAGCCATAACGAGAATACTAGCCTAATATTAATATTAAAAGATCATACATAAAAGATTAAATGTAAGAGGACACAATTCTCTGCCATAACACTTTCATTGACAGACTGTTGAATCAAAGCTTTCCTTTATAAAACACTACATTTGTGTGTCTTGGGGGTCGGCAAATAGGCTAAGTCTGGCATCGGGTCCATAGCCTAGTCATATTATTTCAAATCCCATAGGCTAGCCTACTCACGTTTAGGCAAGCCTACGTTTAGCTCTTTCGGTAGTGTGCGGTAGCCTAATCCAGTTGGGAGGGTTGTATGATCATCGCAACATACTGCCGATTTTTTTTCTCCCTTGTTAAATATAAGGACACTTTTGCAAAGCACGTGCTAAAGTGTGTGCTCGCTTCCCGGCGTTTGATCCGCATTCATAAACCAATAGACGCTTATTTTAATTTCCCTGAGGAAATTCAGGGGAATCCAATCACACGTTTACTGATGGCTTTTCAGAGGTGTGTCAAGCAAGCCAGAGACTCTTTTGAATGTCCATTTGAACTTTTCAGAATCAGAATCAGAATCAGTTTTATTGCCAGGTATGTGTACACACACATACGAGGAATTTGATTCAGGATTGTACATTACTTACGATCTGCTTACTTATACAATAATAAAATAATAATATAATAATAATAAAATAAAATCAGACACAAACTACAGAGTAGACAACATTATACACACTATGAACAAAACAATATAGACATATTGACAAAGTAAAAGCTCTCAATAAACTCAACATGAGGCATTGATGCAAAAAACGTTCTCGCGCTTTTATTTTGAAGGCACAATCACTTAAGAGGAAGTGATTGTGTGATCAACTGTAGCTTTTATGACTGAGATCTATTTCAGCAACAGCCGCTGTCAATTTATTTATTTTTTATTTTTCTGTTATCAAAGCAATCGGCTTGTAGAGGATGTAGAGTAGGCTACAGTGACCATGAGAGTAAGCATAGCCTACGTGAGTTTTTTTGTTGTTTTTTTTGCCCCTTGAACTGATTATAGGGGTATTTATTAAACTCTGAAATGATGTAAGCCTATAATTGTTACACTATTAAGTACTCAGTTTTGTGGCATTATTTGAAAAATATAATAATATAATAAATTCTTTTTTTATCTTCACCAAAATAAATAAATAAATATGATAATAATAATAATAAAAAACTTGTAACTTTTGCTTTTTAATTGAAATATTGCCTAAACCATGCCAGTCCCCCTCTAAAGTCATTGCTGTCCTTTCTTACATGGTGCTAATTTTGGTCCCTTGTCACATGCTTGTTTAGGTTTACATAAAAAAAAAAAAAAAGATTTTACAAGTCATTGGTAATAACTTGCTTACCAAAATGCTTCGGGTAAGATTAACTTTGTATTCAGAAATGTTATCTTGCTTAAAATACTCACAAGATGTGTATATAGGCCTAAGCTATTTGTGGTACCACATCTCTGTTGTTATTTTTTGATATTGTGCAGTTTTGGGCCCATTTTAAAATCCTTCAATTTATAGGAACATTTACATTAACTGATTTATCTGTCAGTTTTATCCAAAGTGACTTACAATGGTTAAAGGGGTTAACCTATTATACTGCATTTCCGGCTCTATATTGTAGTTCTGTGACTCCTCTATGGTAGCTTTGCCTGATTCAAAGTTAAAAAAATTTTGTATCTTATACTGGTCCTCATTTCAGACTCTGTCTGAAACAATCTGTAGATGCTCCTGTCTCTTTAAGATAAGGCTCAATCCCGTTTCACCCCTTGCCCCACCACTTGTTTTCTAGTGTACCCCTTGGCCCTTAAAACAGAGCATCAGGGACCAAGGGGTTGAAATATTCCCCTACGAAATGGAACAACCCTTCAGGAACCCGATATGTCATCAGTAGTCGACGTGGGCTCTGAAGTTAACAGAAGCAACACGTTTTTACAGGATTTCTCCATGACAAGGATTGACAACAACTCCAATATGCTGTTCTCTGCTGTGGTAATCTCTGTCGTATGGTAATGTTATATCACACATCAAGCAATCTAACTAGTCACCAATTAAAAATAAAAAACACAACTTTAACACCAGGTAACTAACGATAGCTAACAAGTCAACAAGCTTTAGCGGCTGAACCGGTCTGAACTAGTTTTTTTTTTATGATTGTTGACCATATTACACTGCAATGACATTAAACTAAGAATAACCATGGTTATCATAAATCATATGAAGAAAATACTTGTATTCTGGAAACTTTCTTGTAGCCCTCCATTTGGAGTGTGCCTCTGAAAAATCTCTGTCTGGAAGGCTATGTAAGCCTACCCCTTCGTCCTACCCCTCTATCGCAACAACTTCGGGACACCCTACCCCTAGCCATGAATGCGCAAAATGGAGGGGTCAATTGGTAGGGGCAAGGGGTGAAATGGGATTGAGCCTAAGTAACATACCTTGAAACCTGTTGTGCAACATTTTGAGGAAACATATTTAATCTGAAAATGTTGCAAACTGGTGCAAAACATTTTGAGACTGAGTTGCCAGGAGGATGGGGCTACGTGTTCCTTTGTGGGCCTGGCCAGCATTCTCTGCCTGGAGCAAATGACTGTATATGGAAATCTGGGTCTGTATGATGTCATATGGAGCATAGTTGAAAAAACTGTTGGTTGTCACATGGATTTCTTTTAAATAGTTTTACCTAAATATTTAAAGCTTTGGCCAAGTTTAACATGAACATCTTGTATTTTATTATGTGTGTATTCTTCTGAAAGCATTTTATTGATTATTTTATAGATGTGAGTATATTATATACTTTAAGCTTCAAAATGTGTTCCACAGGTTGAATCATTTCACAATTATTTTTTCTCTAACCAAAGACAACTATTATTAGCCTTCTGCACTGAGTTATTAAAAGGTTCAAAATCAGAAGCTTGAAAGAGATAACAATAGTAGCTTCAAGGAGCCCTTCTGAGAGATAATGGCCATCCTCTGCCAAGAAAAGCCACCTGCAAGAAATAATGATCCAGAACAACACATCTAAGGGATACTTTAGAAAATCCCTAGAAGTCCAAGAATGTTCTGTTAAGGAAAACATACACTATAACAAATTGCTGTAAAATAACGGCTGATTTTGTACAGTAATGTGTATACTGTAAATGTTGACGCCTTGGGGGAACAAAACAATAACAGCAAGCTCCTGTACAATCTCACGGTATAATACAGTATTTTTTGTTTTGTTGCAGAGTCCGCCCAAAACCCATCTTTTGTCATCATTTGTATTAACCCATAGTGCAAGCATGCATGCAAACAAAACATATAGCCTAAACAAAGTTTCAGAAAAGTACACTGTATACATTTACTAGTTACATGCTAAAATATAGAGTAATTCACCAGGTAGATATATAGAGCATCATTAGGTTGCTCTCACATCTGCCATGTTTCCCAATAAAAGTCATTTAAATTTGATATCAAAAGAGAGTGATAGAGTGGAGGGCTTCACTGCGCTTGCGTGTGCGGTCTGAACCCAGGGTAATGCATGCGTATCTGAAGCTGTCTTTGACCCTTTTATGATGTCTTTCCATTGGTTTTAAGCTTTTCTTTAAACTCTATTTTTTATTTTGCCTTTTTTGAATGCATTCCCTCATGTACACCTACAGTGATGCTGTTAATACAAGTTAGGTTTGTTTGTGACCCCTCTACCATGGTGTATATTGGTAAATAAGGGATTTTGTCTATTTGCATTAGGAGTGAAAAACTTGCCACTTAAAATTGAGCTCCAATATAGCCATCTGCAATGTAGTTCTGAAATACAGTCGTTACTGTCCTTCCTTTGGTCTTTACACAGCCAAGCTGCTACAGGTTGTGTCCTTTGCTTCTTTCTTGCTCGGTCCGTCTCCCATCTGCTGCAGGTTCAAATACTCCAGTTCATGAAATAAATAAGGTTGGTCAACAAAATTATAATGAAAGAAATCCTGCAGGCAGTCGTTGTCATTCAACCATTTTCCTCTTCATCTCGGTATAAAGACTGACAATGCCTATCCACTCTCCAGATTTTGAAATCTACACGGACAGTTTATTGACCAACCTTATTTAGGCTACATAAACCACAGCAGCAATTTGGAACTGCACTTAGGCTGCACTTCTATTTTGTCCATGATATTGTATTCATTAAAACTATTTCTAACAATAGACACCATGGTAGATGCTATGTCAGAGATTTAGGAAAAATGATAAGTTTTATACACTGGCTTCTTTGACAACAGTACTATAGCCAGTAGTTCCTCTTTTGAAATTTTCATTCTGAAGAGGAACATCTATTTGTGTTTAGGACTGTATGATCCCGCCCACTACACATTTAGCCAGTACCATTTTGGCACCCCAGGTTTATGATTTATTATTATTTATTATTGTATACATCACCGGATCAACATTCAGTGTAGGAGATATCTTTTTCAATATTCACAGGTAAATGTGCTCATTCATGTAGGTTTACTGTCCTGCATGATTAGAAAATCCTTTCCAAAATTTTCAATTTGGACTGATCATTCACTCATAATTATAAGACACAGAGGTCATAACCATGTGAAAATTTAAGAATATTTATTTGGTGAATGTGAGGGGATTACATATTGAGTGCAAATAATTCTCTGTTATTCCTATTGCAGGTACTTCATTGGTATCAACCCCAAGAGGGGAACAAAAGCCAGCCAGGGGAAGGTGGTGTCCAAGAAGACCAGGAAGCTGGTCCAGAAAAAGGCAGCAACTGTGAATGCCCATGTGGTCACCCTTATAAAAAAAACTCCTGGACATTGAGTGAGGCTTCATGTAGTAACACATCTCCACACAGGACTTATAGCCTTGTTTGAGTTGAGTAGTGATAGTTCCAGGTTGATTCCCTTTCTATTGCACGTCATGATCATAACTCATGGATACTGAAGGCAGGGTACAGTTTTAAGTATGGTATGAAAATTGTTGAAAGAACCTGCTTGAAATGATTAATTGTTGTTATGGATTGTGTTTTACAAGAATTACATTACTTGAAATTTGTTAGCTGCTGAAGGTGTATGAAGCAGTGGCTTTAATACATAATGTTACATGGCCATCTCTTCATATTCAAAGTTCAAGAAAAAATTATACTGAATATAGGTTACATGGACTAGGCTAGTAAAGCAAGAACTGCTTCAGAAATAGCATTTTACTGTATTGTATTTTAGAGAAATGTACTTATTTTGAAATTTGTCATTTAATTTTTTTGATAACATATTGACTTTAATAAATGCCAAATGTTGCACTAAAATAACAGTATAACTGCAACCAAAAAAACAGTATTATACTGTAATGCTTAGATTCTATACAGCACATTACTGTAATATTTTTTAATAAAGTGTTGTTATTGATTACAGTAGTTACACTGTAGAATAATAGTTTCATGCTGGCAACTGCAGCTACTGTATTTTACTGTTTAATGACAAAATTTGTTATAGCGTAGGCTTGTGAAATATAATAAAATGTATTGCAGAAGGGTCTTTTGAGCACTATGGTTTATTTAAAATGATTGTGACTAGATAAACATGTTAACCTTTTTAAAATCTTATTTGTTTAATTTTTAATGGTGTCAAATGAATTAAAAACTAGAGCATTCAAAAAAATATATATAAAAAAAAAAAATCACATTACAAAGATTTATAGTTAAACAAAATAAGTGAATTAGTACACTAAAGTGGCTATTAGATGGCAGTAGAGGATAAGAAATTCACCATCGTAACTAGCCAGAAAGGGTGCGGTCAGCGAACATAGGGGAGATTATGTGAAAATCCTGTCTAAATGAGATTGAGGAAAATAAAAGGAAGTGTTTGCTAACTGCACATTCAGTTCATCCTGATGCCTGTTGGGATGTAACTTAGATTTTTGTCTTTAATGGAATAAAACAAGAGTTACGAATGTAACTACGGTTCTATGAATTCTGGATGACACTCTGATGCCTCTTGATGACCATCAGACGGCGGTGCTTTAGCACTGGATGTCTCCATCTTGCATTTGCCTAGGTCGAATAATTATACCAACAAAGTCACCTGTGACTATCCGATGATGTAGGGCGCACGCCCCAGTATAAAACCCTCTCGTTCTATTTCATTCTTCCTGAGCGCCAGATGGTGGTGCTTTAGCACTGGATAATTTATACCAGCAAGGTCACGAAGAATGCTCACCATGCTAAGGAGTGGAAGCAGTCGACGGGACGGCTGTTGCCACCGCATGGGGAGCAGCCACATTTACCCGGTAAATAGCGAGCAAAGGTACATGAAGACTCCCAGCTTGCGGAAGTTCAGATGTCAGACCCCTCTCACGGCTGCCCAGGATGTGGACACACTCTGAGTAGAGTGACACTTTACCTTACTAGGTGCAGGCAGGCCTTGCGACCTATAAGCATGCAGAATCACATCCACAATCCTTCGCCCTTCCTACAACCCCCATAGCAAACAAAAAGATTGTCAGACTTGAACTGGACACAGTAGCTGTGACAGCTCTTCCGCCCCTTCAGATGAGCCTGGTGGCTTGGTTTACATGTGAGGGACCCATTCAGGTACCAAAACAGGCACCTCAGGCTCACTGATAGGGCATGCAGTTCTCCCACTCGTTTTGCTGATGTGACAGCAAGCAGAAATGCTGTCTTAGCAGACAACCACCTCAACTCTGTCTGTCCCAACGGGTCAAATGGGGGCAGACCCAAGGATCTCAAAACCACCTTAAAGTCCCATGGTGGCACTACAGTGACACCTGATAGTCTAAGACTCTGCACGCCCTTCAAGAACTGACTAACCAGATAGTGTGAATTGGTAAGCCTGTCCTCGAAAGGCGAACCTCAGGAACTGCCTGTGGTGTGATGCAATAGACACTTGAAAATAGGCATCCTCGAGGTCTATTGACACAAACCAGGCCCCCTGCGTCACTGACTGGATGACATCTGCCATCCATAACATTTGGAATTAAAAAATACGCTGAATAGAACCCACTGAGCTGTGTATGCCCTTCTACATGCTTGATGGCGTCCTTCTCTAGAAGGGCTGCAAGTTCCTGGCTGAGGGCCAGGGATTTTGCAGGATCTCTGATCAAAGACCTTCTGATCCCGCAGAAAAGTGGTGGCTGCCGTCGGAACTGTAGTGTGTATCCCTCTCCCAGTAGCTGAGGTTCTGCTGAGAGAAGCGTCGGACGACGGCCAGTGGTTCTCAAGTCTGCTGCGCCGCTGGTCCGAACATTTGACCCAGCACCACAGGAAGGGAACAGAGGGTGCGAGGACACCCCTCTGACAGAGGGGACTGCGCCAGCCAGACCTTGCGGCCTGCCAGTGTCACTGTCGAAATCAACCTTCCAAGCTCCCTAGACATGAATGCAAAGGCCTGAAGGGATGCATCACTAAGAGTCTGGGCCGAGGAGCCCGCACCAGACTCGATGAGGGATGATGAGGTTAGAAAAGGAATTACCAATACAGCCCATGCTATGTTATAACTCTGCATCCGGTCTGAGAGAAAAAAGCACTCAAAGGTGCTGGCGCCATAGGAGCTTCATCCAGCGTGTCCCCCTCCTTGTCTTGCCCTTCTTCCCCTTTATATGTAAACAAACTGCAGGAGGCTGCAGTCGATAACACATCATCCTCTTGAGGCGAGTCCCTTGTGGCGGAGTCACCACTGGGAGCTGGCCCCCTATTATCAAGCTGGAGATTGAACAGTCCATCAACTTTGAGAGCCAAGTTGTCCACCTTCCTCGATTTTTTTAGGTGGACCGTGTGAGACTGATAGACTATCAGGTGCCAGTATCACCGCCTAGCTCTGCAAGTCTAGCCCTTCTTACTGACAGTGGCATAAACCTACAGTTCATACATGGATTGTCAGAGACCCCTGCCTTGAGGTGTGCACTGGTCATGGTTCCATTTGGAGCGGCACCATGCAGGCGTCACAAGCCATGATTCCATCTAATTGTCAAGCGTATTTTAAGCATACTTTTGACATGTTGCAAAAAAAGAACAAATATGTGCGTTTCCATCAGCTGGTTTGGAGCGAATAAACCAGTCTACGGTAACGTAGTTACGTCAGTAGTTGACGTTACACATGGCTGTAATAAACAAGACGCATGGGTTCCAAACCAGAAACAAAACCAATGGCATGAACCTGATGGCCACTGATCTTGATAAATGGAGAGAGGTCCTCAGAAATGTGTTTCAAGCGAGCAAGTTGCCAGCCATGTCTTCGCACGTTATGGGAATATTCGGTGTTGTGGTGAGTTTTGCATGCCTGCCGAGAATTGCATGCACTTCCAAATAATGCTTTTAAACGCTATAATATCCTTTGTGTGGTTCATCAATGGTGATAAATGATTTGAAGTATATATTTTATGACCGTTTAGAGTCATTATTTTATTACACTCAGTAGAAGTAGCATTCATTGAGATTCAGCAAAAATATGCTGTGATAACCCCGTCTGATCAGTGTGCAGAGCCAAGTATCTGAAAAGGACCTTTAAGAGGTGAATGTATACTATGAAGGCTACCTGCCAAGATTTGCATCCACCTCTTTTCTCAGCACAAATGAGTGTTAACAGCCGCGAGGTGCATGAAATTCTAGGCAGGCATGCAGAACTCTGCGCAACTGGGAAAGACGCCGACAGCAGAAGCGGCTGATCAGTCATGAGTTACAAGTTCGCTATTTCAGAACTTAATCGGCAAAAGAGTTTCCATCTCCCATTTAGCGCATTTACTCTTTCGACAAAGGCATAAACCACCTCAAGCGAGCGTAAAAACTTTTTTGCGAAATTAAGGATATTTTTTTCAAATTTTGCCGTTTCTATCAACCTTTTCTAATGCGATAGTTCAATGCGCATTAAAAAACGTTAATAACACGGCTACAGACATACGAGCTCAACATGTCACTTAGTGAAGCTGTTCTCACAAAATACACTCATAGCAGGCTAGCCCTGCTATAGGTGACCTGCTATTATGTTTCCTCAATGCGAGAAGATTGAAGGGACAGATTGCGTGATGACGTGAGGGTTTATAATGGGGCGTACGCCCTACGTCATCGCATGGTTACAGGTGACTTTGTTGGTATAATTACCCGACCTGCGCAATTGCGAGACGGAGACATCCAGTGATACAAGCACCGCCGTCTGGCCGTCAGGAAGAATGAAATAGAAACTTTTGCACCGATTTTTGACTCTCCAGAGAAGTTTTTGGACTACAAGTTATTGACTATTTTGGCGAGTTTCTTAAAGTGGTGAAGACTTTGTTTCGAGTCTTTAGCTGGCCTAGCCCAGACCTAGTCCATCAATCTGACATTGTAGCATTATAAATATTCCAGAAAATATGTAAAAGCATAATAGGTAAGTGTCTTGCTAAGAGACACACTGGTGGATGTGTCGCAAGTGGGAATCAAACCGTGGTCTCTAATACCAAAGGAATGGGTCTTATCCACTGCGACATCGCCACCCCATTTGACACAAAGGTGCGCAAGTAGACCTGAACATTTTGCTAGGAGAGCTAACATAGCATTTAGTTTTACAAAGTTAGGAAGCAATGTTTTAGTCAAGATGTTGCCTAACATATAAAACAATGATTACCAGTCTCTTCCTCACAGTTGTGTTTTCTACCACAATACACACTATTGTTTGAACTGAGGACAACAGCACACCCAACTTATCATTCCTGCCACACGTGATGAGTGTGGAAATTATAGCGTCATCCCTGATTCCATATCTGGTATACCAGGAAACATAGTGGGTAAAAATGAACACAAAGAGACAGAAGCTGCTCTCAAGATTGCTTTAGAAGATATATAGATATATATTTTTTTTTCAGATTTGAATATTAATGTCAAAAATACATACTATGATATACAGTTTGCACTACATCATCTTAGCATGACAGACGTCACAAGTAGTAACTGAAATATTAATTTAAATATTAAATAAACTGATGGGTAAGTGAATGCGTAAACACTAAACTAAGGTTACTCTTCCTATTGCAGCACTTCCAATAAAGTGGTTCTGTAACAGTACAAAAGTATTAGAATATTACTATTTTCTGTTTCATTTCCAGTTATATTGAGAAAAAAAAAATCCACAGTGCACTTCTGATGTTCTGCTGTGAAGCTTTCAGGTGAATCTAGCTTGATCGACTTTTCTAGTGGTCCATGGTATGTTTTGTTTTGGACGAGTGGATGGCGTTGCACCAGTTGGTCACCCGCATCCTCTTCCATAAGCACTCCCTCTGCTCGGAGCTCAGGAATCACAGGGTCAAAGCTGAGTTCATGTTCAGTTCAATCAATTTAAGCTTCAAGAATTTAAAACTAAATCTTTTACTATTAAAATGGCCTTGTATTGCATTTATAAAGACACTAATTTAGATTGAACATTTACTGTGTCAAGTGGAGGTCCAATTAACATTGTGATTTGAGTAAACAGAGTAAAGTAGCACAGACTCTGCTGAAATAATTGTGAAAGTGTCTAACTGCTCACTGGTCTCTACACTCCTGCCAGACGCTGGAGGGGATACACACAACAGCAGGAAAAGACTTAACTATCATATCTGGTCATTCTATCATTAGGCCCTCTTAACCAGAAGACTGGGATCTGAAACATACTCTGTAACTGTAACTTTTGACCCAACCTCTCTGATCCAAACTGGTGCACTTAACAGCGAACAAAGTTTCATTTGTGACGAATCTCCCAGGCTCTTAGTCCCTCCTTTGTCAGTTCTGGGTGACCGAGGGGATGAAAAGATTTTGGGCACAGGCCACGTGAGTCTTGTTGACTGACGTTCTTAAATCGCTTCTCTTTCGGAGCCTTTGCAACTAGCTATGGACTGAGTAAGAGTCTGTCGCTGGCATCGAAGTGTGACTGAAGCTTCGGTAGTGGCCTGCCGGGTGGAGAAGGGAGGGGGTCAGGCCTCAGCAGCGAGGAGAGAATGGTGGGTCAATTGGGGACTCTGTGAAGGACTGGAGCTCGTAGGCAGCACCGCTGTCCACCTCCATGGACTTCCTGGAAAACAGCAGACGGATGTCCCTATGGAGGTAGATCTTCCCAGACTTAGAACTCTGGAACCTGGTTGGCATTGCAGAGGGAGACATAAAGGATGAACAAGGGAGGAAAACGGTCACTGCTACCGGATATATTCCACTTTTTCTGTCCACTAGAGATGAAATGACGGCCAACTCACCTCAGATGAACGAGGTAGCGCAAGGTGCGTCCATGGCTGAGGGCCTTCCTGCTGGTGTGATTGTTTATGTCACGGCGGACGGGAACAGAGAAAGTCCTCTGGCGTAGGAAGGTCTGGTGTCCAGCTGGCATGGCTCGTAGGTCGTACATCACAACAAACATCTTCACCACTGTCTTGTTGGGATTGAATAAGGTCTGAGGGGCACAACCAGAGAGCATGCGAGGATTTAGACAGTTTTCTAACTCTGACCTAAACTCTGATCTATACAGACACAACAAAACCTTACATGCTGTGAAAAATATATATAATGAACACCAAACTATAAATATCACTCTAATAGTGTAATTGAAGTACATAGAGGTAAATACCTTTCAAAATCAGAAGTATATGTACCATAAATGGATAAATGCACACCCATGTCTGTTACATGATTCATTTCCCACTATAACCACTAGGTGTCTCCCTTTCCTTTTGTTAGTTGATGTAATTTGCTCTTTGTTCTCAGCCATTTGCACACCATGATGTATATATTCCACAAAAATTTATATTTTTAGAACATATCTACATTTGTAAAAATATTTCCTCACCACTTGAATGGTTCCTGATGGAGGTACACGGTAGCCCCTTTTCCCAAGGGACTCCAGGTTTATCACACCCTGTGAGAAAACACATCACAACCACTGTCACAAACAGGCATACAAAAGGAAATAAAGTTGCAGACACAGCTTTTAGCTCAAAGCTCAGTCACACAGGCTGGAACAACAAAACTGAATTATTGATTGGGGGGGGAAGAAGTAATCTCACCATATATGGTGAGGGAGCGTTGTCATCGGAGACACTGTAGAATGACACATCCACAGGTAAGGTCAGGTGACTGGGGCAGAAGGACCCGCTGGCTCCAACCTCTGCTGTAAATCCCTCCACTAACCCTAAAGGCTCCAGGCGGTAGTTCAGCACGCACTCCTAATTAAAAAAATATTTATTTTTCTTTCTTTCTCTCTCTTTTTTTTAACGCAGACGATATCAATAACTTCTCACAAACTTGTTGTACAATATAAAATGTACAAGCTGCTAAATGATTGCTATTCCAGATTGTACATTTTAAACACGTCTGGCAGGCGAATCGATTCCCTTTGTTGAGCTTTCTGTCTAATTTGAATTATTTATGGATGAAAAATGGCATGAAAGTACAGCTAAGAGTACACAAATCTCTAACAACAACGAACGAGAGGGGCATGATTCTGAGTGTGTTTTTGTGTTATACCTCAAAGTTTCCCAGTAGACTGAGACTGGCAGGTGGAGCACTGGCACTGAACAGCTGCTGTGACTCATCTGTGTACCCCTCTGTCTTTGGACACACCCTGAAGGGTTAAACACACACACACACACACACACACACACACACACACACACACACACACACACACACACACACACACACACACACACACACACACACACACTCAAGTTGTTTTCACTGCATGATGTTTATGTGACAAGCATTCCTGGTACCTCACTCCAGGATGAGATATAATTATCTCAGACTGAATTGTGAGTAAACAAAAGCAATATTAGTCATCTCAAAATGTCTGCTACTCTTGACATCTTAATTTACTGAAGGAAGAAAAAAATGGCATTTATATCCATTGGTCACACAAGTCAAGCTTTAGTCACATATTTTAATTAAGCAAACCTTATTTAGAAGAATGACAACAGCTTTTACCAGCCACAACTTGTCCAGTGGCTAAAATGAACCTTCCAACCTGAAGGCCAAACATCTGCTTTATCAGAAGCAGCACTGAGCTACCACCCACGTCTGCTGTGTGTAGGCAGTGCCATGAAGCCCTGTGTATATCAGGCCAGTTCAGTTCTGTCTGCCATTTTGAACAGAATGCGTGTGAATCTAGATGCAGTCACAGTACAGCAGAGCTTCAGCAGGTGGCAGCGTGAGAGGAATAGTCAGCAGTACAGGGCTCTCCTAACCTCAACACTCTTAATTGCCTGATCTCAAGACACACAGACAATACAACCTGTTGCTGATCCATGACTATGTCAATGTTAGGGTTTATATACGGTAGCTCCTCCCTAATACAGATCCCTTGCACACTGGTCCTAAGACTTTGGACAGCTCGACTAATACTTGCGGAGTATTATAATAATAATAATAATAATAATAATAATAATAATAAAAATTCAACTTAAAAACACAATAGAAAGCTATAGAAAATATCAAAACTAAAGTTTGCTATACTGGCACTTACACATAGTAACAGCTGAAATGGTCTAAAGTGGGAAAAAAAAGTAAGTTGGATGATGCAAAGTATGAGTAACTTAGTCCAGATGGTACTATAATAAACAGCTGATGTGGAGGCAACTATAAAACAACAGTTGTCCTTCAACTGTTATTAAGACATTAAACATTATACTTGTCAAAGTATCCTTGTGGAGAAACTGAGCTGGAGTGTGGTAACCACAGTACCAAAGATCCCAGGTGAGGAAAAGTTTACCTTTTCCCAGAGGCCCAAGGCAAACCCTTACAGCCAGCCAGAGAGGTGTCCAGGTCAAAGTAGCCTGTTTGATTTTTCCTCTGAGGAACCTGCAGCGAAAACACGGGACATGATTAACACAGAGCAACTGTCAGAGTACCCCAGGTAAGAGCTTGACGGACAAGATATCGGGTTCTTCTTTGAAAATCTAGGACTCTAGGATATTCTGTGCAATGTGCGTCACGATGTGCATGTGAAAATAAGTGAGCCTGTGTGTTTTTCTCTGTGTTTATAAGTGTGAGCAAGACCATTCAGAAGACAGGAAACCGTGTCGATCAAGGAGTGTGGTAACCTGACTCAGTCACTTTCTGTGGCTAATGAGGCACACATGAGTCAAGTGCCTTACCCGTCTGTGTGTGTGTTTCTGTGTGTACATTAACCTTGGCTAACAACTCAGTGGTCCAGCAGCAATAAAAACACCTGCCAGACATTTCAAAAGTCTCTTTATGACAAAATTCACAGGTCCACTGATGAAAGTAGGGAGTAATGCCGACGATGGCTTGTAATAAAGGGTAGTGAATGTGGTGTTATGACAAACAATGACTGCGAGTTTCACTGTGCAGATGAGTGTTTCTTACAGGGCTGGAGAGCAGAGGCAGGCCAGTGCAGGGGTGGAAGGCCTTGGTCGCCGTAGAGTCTAGTGAGTGGCGATTCTGTTTCTTCCAGGTGTTGCAAGGCCGCAGAGGGGAGGGGCTGTGAGCTCGCTGGAGCACAGAAACGAGAGAGATTAAGGCAGCTTGCAAGTAAAGTGGAATCATCTGTATTTATCAAATCATGTTCTCATTTATCACACGCCATCTTGATTACCACTCACTCCAGTCCCACCTGCTCCCAACAAATCATTTAAACCGAGCATAAATGGGTAGGTTCCATCCAGTTTACATATGAAACGTGTGATGCCTGTTGTTACCTATTCACTTATTCCTGAAATTAAGTGTCAGTACTTTAGTAGATAGTTTAGGCTTCCTGACAATATTTTCATGGAATGAGTAAATTGTTTAATAAAGTATTTAATTTCCAATAGCTATATGTATATACACTTTTTAGAATATAACTTAAAAAAATTGTGTAGTTTGGCAGTTACTGAAATATATTTTTGTCTGTAAGATAAATATGAGGCTACCGCCAGCAGTTAGTTAGCTTAGCTTAGTACAAAGACTGGAAACAGCAGAGCCTCCAAGAAATCACTGCTCCCTGACAAAAAATATGTGTTTTTACACTTGGTTCGGTTTTTGTAAAGATTAAACAAACAAGTTATTACATGTTAATTAGTGAGGTTTAGGAGGGGATGGAGGATTTTGTTCATTTTGGACAGAGGCAGGCTAGGTGTCCCCAGCCTCCCCCTTTCCAGTCTTTGTAGCCTTTTATTTACCGTACAGACACAAAATCATATCGATCTTTTAATCTAACAGCAAGAAAGTGAATTAGCTTACTTCCCAAAAACATTTCCTTTAGTGATGCAGTTAAACAAAGCCTCCTTTAAGATAGGGCATGGAATAATTGCAGATTACTAAATGGCCTATCACTCAAAAATGAATGGACAAAATGAGGAGTCCCCTACCAGGACAGTAGTAGGGGGAGTCATGTCTGGACTGGGGGTGCTGGAGCATCCAGACTCCGAGGGGGCCTGGTTCTCATCCTGCGGGGCAGAGGCCTGAGCTGCTGCACAAACCTGCATCTGGGACTGAGGCTGAGGCTTGCTGTGGTTGTGGCTTGTGTTACAGTTCATGACCGGGCTGGCATCATTGCAAGTCCAACTAAAGATCTGGGCATTCCTGGGGCTGTTCTCAAGGACAGGGGAGACAGAAGGAGTTTCATGGCTGCTGGGTATCCTGACTCTGAGCTTGTCCTGTGTGGGAGTTCGTAAACGCTGACCAGCCTGGGTGTGGGACTGGCCTTTTAATGAGGGTTCTTCAAGTGTAAACTGAGCACCATTTTGGGCCTGTGGAGAATGGCATTCGGTCCTCGGACTGACTCGGGCCTTGTCTGTGCAAACGGGCGCGTGTGTGGCAGCGGCGTGCGTGCTGCCTCTGTGAGGTTCGTGGCTGGGTATGTGGCCGTTGGCGAAGCCGTTGGTGGCAGTGTGGGAGGCTTGTGGGATGTGTGTGGTGTGCGAGTATGTGCGGACCGTGTGTGTGACTGTCGTTGTGTGTGTGTGATGCAGAGGGCTGCCGCTCCTGCTGTGCCTGGGGGACAGCGAGGGCACAGTCAGTCTCTCCTGGATGAGTCTGGTAATGTCATGTACTGCCTGGGCAATCAGGGAGCTGTCCCTCGCCCTCTCTTTTTCTTTCTCCTTCTCTCTCTCCCTCCCTCCATTCCTCTCCTCCTCTACGTCTCTTGCCTCAGTCATTTTCAGCTTCCTGCAGGCTGCAGGCTTAGGGGATGAGCTCTCTCGTTTGCTGAAGGAAGTGTCAGTCACAGGTGTGTTGAAGGGACTGGGCCACACACGTCCCACAGACTCATAGGGCGGTACCTCGGGCTCTTTGGTCTTACTGGCAGTTACGTCGTCATGGTTACTGCCCCACATGGCTTTGGGAGGGTTGTCAGAAGCGAAAAGGCCAGGAGGGAGTGGCGGTGCTGTGGGGTCGCAGAAGTTGAGCCTCTGTGCGATGCGGGCGATAACTTCTTGCCTCTCCTGCAGCAGGGAACCAATCAGGGGGTTTGTCTCGGTTGCGGCAGGCCTCGGGGAGGGGCAGCGGGGTGGTTCAGTCAAGGAGAAATTCTTAAAAGCTCTCAGTGGCTCAGGGATGGGCCCCTTTGACCTCTCACTGCTGTTGTTGCAAGACCCATAGTCCTCTACTTGTGTGGGGTCAGACGAACCATTGAGAGCTGAGTACAGCCACTTCCCTGCTTTACTTGTGGGAAGTGGAGAGGGGGAGTGGGAGCGGGAGGGCGTGGGGGAGTGGGAGGACCTGTGGAACAGTGGGGAGCCCTGACGTTGGGGGATGTTGACCTGCGGAAGCTCACCATTCTGATACACGTGGTCTTCACCGGGCTCCTGGCTCTTCTTGCTGTAAGGAGGTGGCACAGCAGTGTGGGGAAGGCTATTGATGGGTATGTTGTTGATGGGAAGATTAGGAATGGGTAATCCATTGAGGAGAAGGCCAGACATGGAGTTGGAGCTCTTGCTGTACATGTTGGAGTTGTGAAGGAGGTCGTCTTTGCTGGGGTCCTGCCTCTTTTTGAGGGTGGGTGGGCCACCATGGCTGTTGAGGTTTGGGTTGAGGCTGGGGGTCTTGCTGTAAAGTGGAGGCAGGCCGGTATGGATGCTGCAGGCCAGGGTGGGGTAGGTGGGTTGGCGGGGGAGTGACTGGACATGAACCTGCAGCGCAACACTTTGGGACACATTGGGGACTGGGAAAATGTGCTCTGAAGGAGGCTGGGAGAACTTCCACACCAGCTCCTCATCAGCAGCACTGATCCTGTTTGACACACAGAGAGAGAGAGAGAGATCTTAAAATATCCAGGAATTGTCAGAGCCCTCAGGGATATGGCTTTACTTCCTCTAATTCAATTTTGAAAACAGCACAGCACACAAGACTTACACTCATATACGTGTTTGATAATAATCTGGTCCAGCAGCCTCAGTGAAAAGCCTTCAGCCCACCAGTGTCAAAGTCTTCAGTAAGTGTTATGTCTGACCTGTACAGGATGTTTCTGGGGACGATGCCATGGGAGGCGCTGAGCCAGGCGCTGAGCTGGGAGAAGAAGACGTAGGATCGAACAGCCAACAGCAGCGTCTTCTCCTCAATGAAGCGGTCGCCGCTTCTATTAAAAACACAGAGGTGGAAATGTGCCAGTATGTCAGGTTAATGAGAAACCAGTTCAAGGATGTGTGTGTGTTTTCAAACACAGTGTTCCCTGTTCCTACAAGTGTCAGTAGGAAAGTGGGCCACTTTGTGAGGGTAATTAACCCGCTGAGTGCTAAACCACTATTATTTATCATACTTGTATTATTTTATTTAGAATTATATGTATTTTTTTTGGGGGCATTTGTATAGCATTTTTAGCCTTCACTTTTGCATGTCTCTGTCTAATGGACAATCGAACCCATGTATATGTCATGTAATGACACATTTACAAAGACATTCTTATAGAAACTTATGATTTTTTTTTAATTCAGAATGTATTAAACACACAGAAAGTGGGGATTTTATACCTCTTATATGCTTATTAGGGGGGCTACATGGCTTTTCCCAGGGTACAGCCATTAAGCCAATGTTGTGGTACTGTAGAAATTCATCTGCCATCAGGACTCTATATCTAGGTCTATATGCAGCACAACATCATGCCACTCAGAATAGTGATTTATATAAAGTGTTGACACAGATGCACTTTTTGCTGACAAATGATGATGTTGGAATATTTGTAAAAATAAAACATGCAGAGACCTCCCCCATCAACCTCCCGGATCAAACACTTAGCGAGCAAGATGAGAGGTGGACTGGTTTTACAGCGATGATGCTTGGTGCGCAAACACAGTCAAGATGGACACTGCTTCCCAAATGTCAATGTTAATGTAAAGATAAAACCATCTTGTTGCTGCTGTTTACATTCTCCCAAGAGGCAAATTAATAAAATGCACTGCAGAATGTTCAGGGTGTTTACGTGTCTGTATATAGCCTTTGTATATAAAATAACTGTATATAGCCTATTGTTTTATTTTACATGTTACCATATTGTAAAACACATGTATTTATCTGTTCAGTTCTGTTTGTGGCATGAAGGGACTACAAACTTTCGTTTTGTTATAAAACCTTGTGTTGTACACAGGCACTGTGTATATTGGGTATATTATTTGTTTTGTTATCCTTTCCTTTTTTTGTTCTCATGTCAACGGGAGCACAGTATGTGAAAGCATCAGTAGCGGAAACCAAGGTAATGATAACAAAGGACAGAGGTGGGTGATGGGAGGAGGCAGTAACCTTGGAAATACAACATACTGTATTCCTCTTATAACAGCAGAATTTAGCTTGAGCCTGGTCTCCTTTGTGTGAATACAGCTGTACAACCTCTCCTATGAAAACGGACACATGTGCCCTTTTCTAGCATGGCCCATGTTTAAGATCATGAGTGAGTGCTTATGTGCGCCTTACTGTCTTGGGACTGACTGCAGGGTCCATCTCTCCAGCAGCAGAGCGTCTTGTTTGATGACCGGGTCACTGATGGGGTCACTTGGTGGGCACTCGTCCCCATAGCAACAGTCTGGCAGGAGCATGACCTCAATCATGATGGGGATGTTATTCCTCCAAAGCAGGATCACCTCCGAACGGGTTCGCCTTGCCTGCCGACACTGGACACACACACACACACACACACACACACACACACACACACACACACACACACACACACACACAGGTGGAGGGTTAGCGTTCATAAGCTAATGTCAACATCAGGACCTTGAAATTTAAGGGCAAAGCAGATGGGACCCAGAAAGAGCCTCATTTAGAGCTGAATTTCTAAGTGACTTTATTTAGGTCACATCTTTTTACTGTATATGCTATTCTGTATAGCTATTACAGTGATTAAGTACACCTAATAAAAACTCATGCGGCCCCGCAATAAATCCTACCATTCATGAAGTATATATGTCCAGTTTTTCTCAGTCGCTTTGGTATATTTCTCAGATCGGAAGTGAAATACCTATAACCACTTGTTCAACCACCACATCATCTTGTCACTTGTGCACATCATAAAAGCAGTTTCTCATTCTTCTAAATAAACTGCAAATGCTTTTGGCTTTCAGCTGTGCAAATGATTACGTCCAGTTGTCTGGTGGTTCCTACCTTATTAATTGCTTTTGTCATGTTTTGATCACAATCTATCAGAACTGGTTCTCTGTTGAAAAGTCCCCCAAAACATCTAGGTATAAGTTCATTGCATAAGTCACTACATGCAAAACATTGTCAAAATCTGTTGAGCATATTTTCTATACATGTCTGTTATTTTTTGTAAATATGTCCTGAATTGATGAAGATATCTGTGATGTGGATGAGAATCTGTGGCCCGACTAGGAAAGGGTTTCATTAAGATTTTAATGGTATTACTACTCCTACCAATACTGCAGAATAAACATTGCTTTGTTTTATAAAATGTAAAATACATAAAAGAAACAATTATTTACCGCAAAAGACACAGCAATGTTTTGAGCAAATCACTTTTACAAACTCTACTGTTGTAATGATGGAAAACAAACAAAAGAAAATACAGTGGAATAGAGCAACACTTTACCAAAAAAAAGTTGCAAAATCTTTAAATGGGTGATTGAATTTATGAACAACCCATAGCTAAACAATCAGCTGGCTAATGTTTACTTTTAATCATGAACCCATGTTCGCATAACTTCGTTAACACCGTGTGTGTGCTCTAGGCTGCTACATAGCAAAGTAAATGGGGCAACGAGAGGTGAACTAGGAGCTGGGCAGTCGAAAACTGTGCATTTCTCTGCCCGTATATGATGCACTTTCTGCTCATGTTTCCGCGAGCAGGGTCTCTTGTGTGTGCTGTAATGTGAGAGAGAGAGAGAGCACGCAGGATTGGAAATAGCGAAAATGCATCGTCTTAATCTCACTACAAATTAGACACGGTTGGTGAGATGAAATGTGCAAGATAACAGATAAGATAAGCAATAATACATAGGAAATGTATTTTCTTATTTTTTTTTTAATACTGAAAGCAGAACCGATAATGTCGGAGCTTATCGATACTACGGTCTTTAATACCAGGTTTCGGTACCCATCCCATCCTAAGGGGTGTTTCCCATGTTTACATGTCTAATTGTTTCATTTATTCCGTTGTGCTTAACGGCTAAAGGTTTTGACAGTAAAGACAGTGACATGTTCACAGACTTAAATATTTACTTTTGTGAGATAGACTAAGGATTTTGAGCAAGTTACGGGCTGTTTCAGGTAATCCACTGTGTAGTGCTATTTGTATGCTCCGTTTAGAGAAATCCTCTTTCTGTTCTGCAAATGTTAAGGATGACTCGAGAAATGCACTAAAGCAACTACGAAAAACTGTAAAACTATGTTAAAGAGGTATTGATTCAACTTTATAGTCATTTCAGGCTGTAGTTTGTGCTGCTGTTGAACTGTGTTGCATTTTGCTGTTTCTAATACTTATTAGTGAAGGTTTTGGGTGCAGAGTTCGAGTTGTGTTGGTAAAATTACAGAAAATATACAATTATCTCTGGTATCTCTAATAACCAATATGTCAAATGTGCATCCCATTTAATAAGTGGGCCTCACTTAATGCTCATGACTTGAATGACACAAACACAGCAGCAACAACGTCTAGAAAAAAGAGAGACCGCCTTCTGTTTCCACCGCAGGAAAAGTTAGTATAGTATAGTATGTACATAGGTGTGAGCGCGCACGTGTGTTACCTGTGGCAGTTTGTCACTGCATTCATGCTTGTGAAGAGGCGGCATGGCCGACTGGGCCGGTGGACAGTGCAGCCCCTCGGTTCTGCCTTTCACAGAATATTCTGGTGTCCTTCCCTCTGTGATGAGCAAGGTCAGGAACACCAGGAACTCCTCCGCGTCGTACTCGAAGAACTCCTCTGTTGCATCTAGACAAGGCAGAGAAACAGAGGGTCAGCATAAAATCACTTAGCATCTAAAAAGATGACAAGGAACCAATTGGAGGAAAGCAGCAGGTAAACTATTAATTTGCCTATCCTGTCTGGGATAGTACACTGCTGGGGACAGTACACCAAAGAAAGCCTGAAAGTCTTTGTTTAGGCTTTTACTTAAGTAGATATGGCTATTTAAATTTGGCCGGAAATACTTGTTTAGAGGTGGGGTGTGGGGGAAGGCAGTACACGACACAACTTTTCCAGTTTGGCCACTTCAAAGGAATATATTTAGACCTTCAATGTCAGCTGAGGTGAGGGGTGAAGCCACACACAGACCTGCTCTCTTTTATTCAATACACACACACACACACACACACACAGTAATGACAGTGACGTCATTCACACTCATTGACAAAGCATTTACAAACTCAACCATAACGCAAGGCAAAGAACAGAAATGATACGAGTTATGCTGCACCATCCAGTTCTCCACCAGTTTTGCCAGGGTGGGGCTGGGCAAGGCTGTCAGGGTGACCAGGAACTAGCAGGACAGAGAGCTGAATCACCCTTTCACTATTCAGGACAAGGCTATTCCCCTCTGAATCAACTGCAAGACTCAATTAACTATGCAGGAGCAGAAAGACTACAGATAAGGAATACTCAGGTGGCTGTCAAAACTAAATTATAGTTCCTGTTGAGCTGCTCTATTGTGTACTATTATTCACAACCACATTTATAGCTGTTTATACAAGTTGGGGCAAGATGGGGGGCCGTTGTGCAATGGGTCACCAGTCGAAATGCTAGTAAATTGTAGCTGTGTCACTTTGTCTTCTGACACAACAAAATTAACAAAATCCTGCTCTGTTTGCGTGATTGAAGCTTAGATCTGAAGTAGTGGTATTTTTAGCAGAAGGTTGCAGTGCCCGTCTTAGCTCTCTATCTCTTGTACTCCTCCAGAGAAAACTCCCAGAATCCCGTAGGAGGTCAGCTGATTCACAGCAGCTCTGAGAATCACAGCTTTCTTTTTTTCCACAGCACACAGGCAAAAAACACTGACGTACTGAAGCTGCCTGCCGTACAAGCCCTCCCCCCTGCCTTGACTGAAATTGGTAGTCAAACAAATATTAGGTCACAATTACGTGGACATATTTATATTATTCGGGTCTGCATAAAGCTAGAAGAACAAAAACACACATACACACAGCCCGTCCTCCTCCCACTAGGGCCTGGCTGGCTAGAACAGAGTCCCGCTCAGCTGGCTGGCTCTGCAGAAGTGTGAGCTATGAGCTGCTGTATCTGTGTGTGTGTGTGTGTGTGTGTGTGTGTGTGTGTGTGTGTGTGTGTGTGTGTGTGTGTGTGTGTGTGTGTCTCTCTCTCTATGTACGTATTGCAGTCAGCTAGCCAGTCACGCACATTCCTCTCAGGGAACTCCTCCTACATGCCTTTAAGCTGCTGCTGCACGTGGGGAGAGGCGCAGTCCAACACAAAACATGAGGAGGGAGGGGAGAGAGGAGAGGGGGGGTCTGTTAGCCAGCTGTAGGCTGAATAAGCGCAGGGTGAAAGAGATGGAGAGGGAGGCTATATTCAGGGACAATCTCCTTTTCTTTATGGGCTGCAATCGGAAAAGCTTGAACAAAGGGAGAAAGAGACCAACGGTGGTAGAGCAAAAAGGGAACCAGAGACAAACCAGAAGGAGTAATATATGACAAAGGTCAAGATTCAAGGTCGCAGAGTTCATTATCTTTACATGATGGTTGGCTTGAATGTACTGGATATACAGTGAGCTGCAGTTAAGGTTTATTTCCCAGTCCAAACTGGGAAATACTCCACTTCCTGATCCTATCAGGGGATTTGGGCTAAATGTGACACTCCATGAAGGAGGTGAAGCACAAAAGAGAAAGAAAGCATGGATTGATGAAGGGAAGGAGGTAAAGGAATTATTAAGGGAGTGGTGGAAAACAGCCTCTGAGAAGCGGTGTGCCACACACACACACACACACACACACACACACACACACACACACACACAGCGCCAATCATGTGTGCACAGTGGGTGTCCGATTGCTAATTTCTAGCAAAGGCAAACCCAGGAACCCATACATACACCCCTAAAGCACATGAACATCAACAAGCACATGAACAGTGACAAACGATACACCATCGCAAACACACAAACCCCACTGAAAACACACACACACAAACACAGCAGGACAAAAGGCTAGTGATGGAGGTTTTTGGTTAAGGGGCCCAGCCTATGTAAGGATCGATGAGAGCTGTCATTCTTAAGGACGTCACGCCTAATAGAACATTCCTATGAAGCCTACACACACACACACACGCACACATCCAACACAAAGAAACACCGCTGGGACGTGATCAGGATGCAGGACAACATAAAAAAAGGCGGAAAAGTAGAAAACCTTTTCCACAGACATGATAAGAGTGTGCTGCGTTCAACATACAGAAGCACATTTATATTTCCAAGATGCAGGATGCTGAAATCTTAAAGAGTCAAATCAACCCCCTCTGTAATGTTTTTAATCCTGTCATTGGTACAAATGGTTAATATCATTCATTTGGGAATTTATGTAACAGTCCGCTTTGTTTACCAATCATTAAGCCTTCGGAGCGGGGCTCAATGTTCTGTCCTGCCTTTCGCTTCCCCTCCTCCTCTCTTTCCCACCGGACCGTGACCAATTCATCTCTGCCTCTCCATCTCTTTAAACTGTGAGCTCTGGCTTTCATCGATTCATATTTGCACTTTTTGAATTAATGAAATGTCTGAAAGATGTCTTTTCTGTCTTCCCCCAATTTGTATTGTCCATTCTGTGTATTTTCCCCCCGCTTGCATTCAATATGAGAAGTACCATAGCAACTACTAGCATGCTTGAGAAATGCAAACAGAAAACACTTCAATCAGGAAAACATAATGAGGTTTAGGCCCCTTGTTTAAATAGGACATTTTGCTGATACATCCTGGACTTTGCGGACCTAAACCTAAATACATAACATGCAACGGAATACTGATCTTTCTCTTTTCCATATGCGTGTGACCCCTCCTCCATCTCCCGATAATGTGTGATGTGAATTATGTAACAGGTCGGATTTAGATTCAGGCTTCTTATTATTAGACCTGTGACCGTCTGCCACCATGTGCAGCTGGAGTCCTGCCTACAGATCGGCTGGTTCGGCTTGTATACACCCACCCACCCACCCTCTTAGCGGTCTCTGTGTCCTCGGGCCAAGAGATCACTTTAGAGTCATGTGGGATGGAAAAGGGCCTCCAGGACAAGAGCAGAGGGGGTCAGCCTCGACAGTCAACACTGTTATAGTAAAAACACCGTGGAATACACTGACACACCAATTAGTGTGATTCATCATTACCTAGGACCTGTCAGAGAGGGAAATGAACATGTAACATGTCCGTGGTCAAAGTGGTATGGTTTTTACATTTACATTTATTCATTTAGCTGCCGCTTTTATCCAAAGCGACTTACAATTGCTGTATATGTCAGAGGTCACACGCCTCTGGACTACTAGGGGTTAAGTGTCTTGCTCAGGAACACAATGGTGTCTCATGGTGGATTCGAACCCCGGTCTCTTACACCAAAGGCATGTGTCTTATCAACTGCACCATCACCACCCTTTTGAAGCAAGTAATGTAAAAACATGTTGCTGGATGACTTTTGTTACATTTTGTCCCCAGTAGTGTCTGTTTTAAGAGAGACGCAGATGGGAAGAAGAAACACTCATTCAGATAAGCGGACCTATTAATCCATGCACTATGGCCACACAATCACTGCGTGGTTGGCCCTCTTTCTATAGCAAAAGCTGCTCTACTCACCACACACGCACGCACGCACAGCTAATTTGAATGCTGTGTAAGTACCCATATGGCAAAAACCACTCCCACCCTCTGCTGCTCAGCCATGATGGTTCTCATGGTGTCCATTTGTTTATGTCCATGTCTCATTTTAATGAAGCACAGAACACTGAGTCTTGTTTTTCTTTTCTCATTAGTGATGCATCTGTGTTGGGGGACAGGAGGCAAAAGCAAGTGGCAGATGCGAAAGAAGAAAAAAAAGAAGAAGAGTCACAGATCAAAGCCTCAGAGGGAACACAACGCTGATGAACTCACCTATAGCTGGGCTACTGGTAATCAAAGACAATATGAGATAAAATACTGCAGGGCAGCAACCAGGGGGAAACGAGGCATACTTCAGAAGGAGCGAGACAGAAGGTATACACAGATATTGGAAGAGACAGACGAGTAGGGTAGATAGGAAACACACAGAGTTAGTTCAAAAGGCAGACAGGAAGTGATATTAACGTTTCCAGTTAACTGTCTGTCAAGTGAATTTCATGCAAATGTTTGAAGCCTCGCAAAATGGCCTATCTGGCAGATTGTGTTGGGGGCAAATAAATTAGAGAATATTTTAATGTCTGAAGTCACTTTTGAACTGGTGTGCTACAATACTGAACAAATCGTGACTTGGCTGTGGGGGTTTTCTTGAATCTAACAAAAACCCTCATGCTTCAAGTAAGTGTAACACATCTTGTGCTATTATGAGAAAACGTTACAGGACATCGAATACTTTCTTGAGGTTTTAAGTTCATATGATTTAAGTCATGATGAAGACTGATATTATTTTTGTAGGACGTGCGGATGCTAGATAACCAGCCTGCTGGGAGCCTGTGGGTTAAAGGCATTTCCAGGCAGCTTGAGTGCAGCAGTCTGCTGAGCTCGCTGAGGTGTGTCACGCTAACATGCAGATAAGCCGGCATTGTACATATACTCAAAGGGGTGTGTGATATTTTTTAATTCTATGCTAAATCCCTCTAATATTCCGCCACATTTGCATTAGCAGGGATCTCAACTGCATCAAAATAGGCACTTCTATTTTCTCTAAAAGTTGCTCGACAAATGACAGGACTGTGTCACATCTCTTGAACTGTGCATCTAGAAAGAAACGGAAAAAATTTAACACCATTTC